TGATTGCAAGGGGGAAAGCTGATTTTTAATGGATTATAGGGCCTGCTTTACACGTTGATTTAAAATTATGTTTATTTTTCAGTAAATTAACTTGAGTACAACTTTTAAAATAAATACCCCCCTCAGTCCTTCTCCTTGGCCACTGGAATCTCTCTCTCTCTTTGTTGCATTATGGAAAAAGATGGAAGAAAAGGTAAGGAAACACAGGAGGCCCATGAGTAAAACTTCCATACATGTTTAGCTTCCATATAGCCTAAAGTGCCTGATCTTGGATGGGCGCCCTCAGTCCTGCATTGAACAGGGGGTTGGACCTGGTGGCCTTCCAGGCCCCTTCCAACTGCAGGATTCTGTGGCTCTATAAAAACCTGTGAACAAGGCAGTAGGTCTGTAGGCCAGGGCCTCATTTGGAAGCACCCTTTGCCTGGGAATAGGAAGCTAATTTCATCAGGGGGCAGAGCCCAGGATTAGGGACTCATTTGAGGTGGAACATGGAACGCATTTATTTTCTTTACTGCAACCATGCAACCTTATGCGGGGGGCGGGCTGTTTGTTTTTTGTTAGATTTGGTAAAACACAGCCATCACCAAGCTACCCCAGCCCTTCAGATGCATTGGATCATGGCTGGCTGGGGAAGAAGGGAGGTGCAGTCCAGGTTGGGGAAAGCTGGTTTGGAAGGCAAAGGAAATGGGCCCGGCCCCAGTGGGTTTGCAGAACATACAGGTCAGGAAGGAAATGTTGCAAGGAGCGAGCAGCCAGGGGTGTTGCTGAATAGTGAAAATACTGAGGAAGCACAGCCGCAGGCCTCAAATCTGCATGAAAACAGAATGCGCCACTTTATTTCTCTATATACACAAATGTAGAATTATTGATTTAAATTTCACAGGAGGCAAAGCCAGCCAATTAATCACCCAGAACACCTCAAATAAAATATCTTCAGTTCGTTTGCATCTCCACCCTGATCAACCTAAATCAATGCTTTTTCTTCCTGAGTGGAGGCTGATGGCTCCAATGTCAGTGGGGTGTCGCTGGCACTCTTTGAGCTTCTTAGATAGCTCCTTGAAGTTCAGGCTAAAACCTGGAGTGGATACACTCACATTGGAGCCCGGAGCTGCTCCCACAAGGAGAGTGTCTTTTGGCAGGCTGTTGCCCCTCGTAGGGAGAGGAGCATTTCCTCCCTCTGCAATCCGCTTTGAGCCACTTAGCCAAGGAAGTCAAGGGCAGTGCTGGGTGCAGAGGTCATCAGGGGCCAGGGCAACCGGTGTAACCGGGCCCACATCTGCAAACGCCAATTTACATAAAATGTGAGTGTGTGCAGCTACTCTTTCCTGAGATGCAGGTGAAGGATGGGATAGAAATGCTTTTAATAAATAAGTAAATTTCCTAAAAAAACCCCACACTGGTATGCACACAAGGGATGCCTGGCCAGGGGAGACGAGGCATTTGGTTTTGGAAAGAAACCTTAGGCAGAGAGATCCAAGGGTGAGGACAGGTGGAGGTGAAGGGCAGGTGGGCAAAAAGCCACCTGATGGAGGGGATCTGATGTGAGGGAGTTTATTTTGGCAAGTGCTCCTGGGCAGCTGGGTGGTGGGGCAGTTGCTCTCCCAGAATTTGGGGCTCCATAGTCTTGTCTTTCACGGTCAGAGAACTGCTTTCTTCCTGTTGTTTATTTAGAATTCTTTATAAATTCATTACAAATCATTAAACATCTCATGACAATTTACACAAAAAAAGTAAAAACAATTTAATCAACAGTACAACAGTTAAAATCTCCTTAATGCCAGTACTCGATTCAAAAGTTTTTAAAAAACAATGTAACAATCAAGACACTGGGTAAATAGAAAGGTTCCAGCCTGATGCTGGAACGAATAAAGCATCAGTGCATCAGTGTGGAACTCGCTCTGGGGAGCAAGTTCCACAATTGGGGTGCTATAGCAGAAAATGTCCTCCTCCTCTCCTCTCCTCTCCTCTCCTCTCCTCTCCTCTCCTCTCCTCTCCTCTCCTCTCCTCTTGCAAGGAGGGCTCTTGGAGAAGGATCTTGGCAAATGATCTTAAGGTCTGTGCAGACTCATATGGAAAGAGGCATTCCCTTAGATAGCCGGGCCCTAAATTGCTTAGGGCTCTGTCATAAACAGCACCTTATATCGGGCTTGGACCGCAATTGGTGGTCAGCGCAGCGGATACAGGACTGGCGCGATGTGTTCTCATCCACCGGCCCCAGGCAGCCGTCTGACAGCGCTATTCTGAGCCAGTTACGATGCCCCGACCCTCCTCAAGGGCAGCCCCACGGACATGGGAGGCTACCAGTGCCTGTGCTACTGTTGCTGGGGCCTGCCTGCCCAGTAGGGGTGCCGCTGATGGACCAGCCGTGGCTGAAGGAAAGCACTCCTTGCCAGACGCCACCTGGGACTGCAGGCATAGCTCTGGGGTGGGGGGTACCCCCAGGCTGCGTACGCTGTCCCTTGGGGGGAGCGCAATGCCCCCTCCCTGGCAGGGCAGATCTCACTCACGCGAACAGTCGGCCCACCCACCAGCTGCACGTCCGTCTCACCTGGACTGAGCCTCAGTTTACTGGCCCTCACCCAGCCCATCACACCCTCCAGATACCTGTCTGGAGCAGTCACTGGGCTGGATGCGAACGAGAGGTAGAGCTGGGTGTCATCGGCATATTGACAGCTCCTCAGCCCAGACCTCCAGACGACCTCTCCCAGCAGCTCCATGTAGATATTGAACAGCGCAGGGGATAAAGGGGACCCTGCGGGACCCCGTGGCAAACACCACCTGGGACTGGCCAGCCAGGGAGGAGCAGAGCCACCCCAAGGCAGTGCCTCCAACCCACAACCTGGCCAGCCGAAACCCATGCATGGACCCATCCAGGGGAAATTTGGGTCTGCCCTTCAGCTCCCCCTTTTGGGGCTTTGGTCCTTTCAGCCTGAGTAGCCCCATTTCACTGACCATCGCCACACTTTTGTGTACATACATTGCGCACACTGTTGAACTGGGTGGAAACATATTCTTACAGTTTGCTGGCGTTGTGTATGCACATTCTGGCAAACAGGAGAGGCTGATGGTTTCAGCTGGACTGACAGCTCCAGCTCTGATAACGAGACGACTGTTGAAACACAGCCAGTTCCAGCTGCAGGCCAAGGCCCTGGGTACCGCCTGTGCCCGCTGTGGGAGAGGTTAGTTCAAAGGCCGTCGTGGGACCCAGTCAACCCGCCTGTAGGAATGAGGAAGAGCAGCAACATCCCGAGGGAGAGATGTAGAGATGGGGAGTCTATCGGCTGGGGAGCCTCCTGAGGAGGTCTATCGGCTGGGGAGCCTCCTGAGGAGGTGGTCCCCACAGTCCGTCGTCACAGTTGCTGGGTGGCCCAATTGGGGTCCCAGAGGGAGGCGCACGGGCGTTCCCGGTTCCACAGCACTCCTTCCCACAGGAACAGGCACGGAAGGATTCATAAGCAAAGTTCTGGGTGAGAGGGCCAGAGAGGGTTCAACATTTCACTTCATGTATGCTCAGAGACTTACACACTGATGAGGCTGTTACTGCTGGGAAGCAGAACTCTGCTCACGACTTCTAGCATTCCTGGTGGGCACTGAATACAGCAGCAGGTCATGGAGAACTACCAGAGTTACAAAAACTTGGTTTGAGTCAACCAAGATTTGGCAGCCAGGAGGTTACCCAGTTCCAAAGATTCCAGTTGTTGCTTGGTGGGCTACAGGCTACCTAATTTTTGGCAGCATGGTCTGTGCTTCAATGTAGTTTTCAGGGCACACAGCGGTCTTGCCCGATCAGATTGCATTCGCCCCACAGGCCACCCTTGAAGCCCAGATCATACCTTGGGCCACTCAATTCTGCAATGCCACCGGCAGAGCTCCCTTTGCTTCACTGCAAGTCCCTTGACAGCACCAGCAGCTTCCTTGGAAGCATCTCCACTGGTTCACAGATCCACACCTTCCCCCACTGCCCTCCCTCCGCTCCCTCTTCTGGAGGAAGAGTGCTGCACGTCCAAGACTTGGCTCCTGCAACGTTCGCCGCCTTGTGCCTGGCCAGCAACACCTGGGATGGCCCTTCCCAGATAGGTTGGAGTGGCTGGCACTTCTCGTTCTCCAGGTGCAACCCATCTCTAGGTCTGAAACAAGTCAATAGGCAGGTCTTTCATTGCTCAGGTCACGCACTCATTGACACATAACCAGGCCTGAGAAAGCCCTCTTTGCTAGAAACCAGCATGAATTGATTCATCCTTGAAATGCAGCTGGCACTGAGCAGGCACCAGTCCAGAGAGAGCCGGCTGGCTCTTGCCAGATCACGGCAGGCCCAGCAAAGGGCAGTTCAAACCAGCCCACCCGGCCCTCCTCCTCCTCCACGTGTGGGCACCCCGTCCTCCCCACGCCTTCGGAGCATCTTCCTTGGTACGCAAGTGGGGGAGAGCTCAGCATTGTCCATTTTTGCTTCTGTGCCCCACTGGAAAGTGTTAACTGTGCGACGTGTGACATTCTGATGATCGACTCACAGAAGGGCCAACCGAGGACGGCTTGGGGTGCCATCTGGAATGAAGGCTCTCGCCTCCAGCGGGCTATTCCTCCTGGCCTCCGGAGCTCCCTCTTGCTCGGACCAGCCACCCCCCACCACAGCCATCATGGGCGCCAGTGCGTCCTCCATGAGAGCTTCCCCCACTCCCAGATGTGCCCACAGCCCCAAAGCCTGTCCAGCTGAGCTGGGCAGCCACGCTGCCCCTCCCAACCCCCGCACCCCACGCCCATCTCTTCTGGGGTGACTATCGCAACCTTAAACGGAGAGGTGAGCTTATGAGGGGTAGAGCGAAAATCCGCACCCGGAGAAGCAAGGGCAGCCGGGCAGCCACGGCAGCAACAGGGGAGGAGCCAGGCGCAGTCCTGGTCCCTCGGTGCCCGTGGCAGTGGTGGCGGCTGTGTCCCGGGGGCCTTCTGTGGCGCTGCCGGGTGTCAGGCGAATGCGCGGGCAGCAGGCAGGCGGATGGGGAGGCCCAAGCCCAGACCGCAGCCGGCCAGGTGAGGGCCCCACGGCATTGCAAGTTACTGGGTGAGAGGCAGGATAAGGCTCTTACGTCTAGTCCACCTGGGCTGCAGAAACAAAAACATGGGTGGGGGGACTGTTAAGTCTTTGCAATGGGCCTTTCCATGGGAGGAATGAAAAATCACAGACCTGGAGGGGACCAAAGGCCATCTAGCCAGCCCCATGGATGAGGCCATCCACCCTGTTGTATCAGACAAATCATGTGCTAGCAAGAGAGAGGAGCTCTTGCAGAAGATGCCTGCATCAGAGGGGTCAAGCAGGTGAACCAAGCTGCATGCATGTGAGAAGACAGCCTCTTGTGCAGGGAAAAATTCCACCCTGTATTCCAAATATGGCTCTCGTGTGCAGCTTGGGCAACCCTCGTCCTTCAGAGTGACAGAGGAAGAAGATCCCTGTCATGCCAGATGAACCACAGATGGGTTGAGCAAATGGGCGGAAAAAGCCACACTCACCCCAGAGGCCGCAGGTTCTGGAAAGCCCCCAGGTGGGGCCATGGGCAAGAGGAAACCCTTTAATCTCTGGGCACATTCCCTGTTGGACACACATCATACGCACACTTACTGTTTTCGGAGCCCACTGAAGACACACCGGGCGCTGCAAAAGGAGCAAAGGAGGAGAATTGCTGCCATGGTTCTTGCAGTGGGGCCTTCCACCCCACAAATCCCTTTCCTCCCCTGCCCCCCACCCCATTCATACATGCAGCTTCTCTCCACATTGCTTCAGATCGGGAAACACGCTTCAGCCATACACCTCTGCAACTGAATTCACTGCAAACAGCAGCCTGGGAGATCCTCTGTTTGTCCCATCTCCCAGGGGCGCATGGGAGCCCAGAACGGCCTCGGCAGGGGAATTGCCTCCCAGGATAAGAGAACCAGAGGGGTCCCCCCGCAAAGCGGATTTCTGGGAGATGCAGGACGGACCGAGGGAAGGACTCCGTCACACAGAGCTTGGCTGAGCCAGGGAATTCCCCTCCATGAGAGGTGACATGATTTGAACAGATTTCAAGGGGACGGAAGGAGGAGGTCTCCATGGCTGCTAGTCCTAATGACAGGAACCATGTTCTTCTGCACACCAGTGGCTGGGGAACATGGGTGACAGTGTGCTGCCACCCTCCTGCCCTGCTTGTGGGATCCTGCAGGCAACTGGCTGACTGAGGCTCTAGGTTCCCTGGGAAGCTGCCCACCTCTCCCCTCCGGGCCTGCCCAACAGCTGCATCCTCATGCACACAAGCAACTGACTTTTTATTTACAAAGCTGATAAACTGCAGTTTCCCTGAAGGAACCATCCGTAGAGGGAGTGTTCTGGTCCAGACACCCCCCTGGAGCAGTGGAAGCCAGCAGGCAGCCTGAAGCTGGCCGGAACCTGGCCCAACCCTCATGGTCCACAGTGCCTCCCCCTTTCGGGCACCAGCTCTGCCCAGGCAGAATCCAGAGAGGGCCCCACTCCACTGCTGAGCTGTGCCCGCTTTTCTCCCACAACCCAGCAGAAAATTGCCGAGGGACCAAGGGGAGGTTTCCCATTTGGATCCAACTCATCACATGGGCAGAAGCTTCTCCCTCAACTTTGACCGAGGCCAAATAGTGGTTCAATTCAGTCATAGACCAGTAAGAGAGAAGGCTATTTGACGTGAACCCTGACTGGGCATCTGCTAAGTTTCAGGAAAAGATCTGTGCTGCAAGAGATTGTCTTGAGTTTAAAAACCAGAAGGAGAGAGGGAAGGAGCCAGCTCACGACACTGGACATGCTTTAGCATTCCCTCATTCAGGCAGTATTTTATTATATTTTTCCCCAGAATTTCATCCGCTAAAACATTTTAACGCTGCTTCAAGGACCGCATCCTATTTCAAGGAATGGTGTTGCGATTCTGGTGCCCCACAACAAATTTATCGTGAATGAGGGGAGAGCTGTGACAGGTTTGCCTGCTGAAACGAAACTCCGGCCAAAAAGCACACGCAAGCGAGTCCAGGGGGCGCCTCTGCCTCTCAGGCTCACGCTGCTGCCCCCTCGAGAGGGACGTCCTGCAGGGGAAGGTAATACCAATGGCAGCGGCGCCGGGAAAGTGCGGGAGGTCAGGAATAAGCAATGGATGGGAGCACACAGGTTCTGATGAAGGCCGAGTGTGGCAGCAGCCGGAATGCCTGGAAGCACATGCGCTCGCCACTTGCACTTCACCTCTCTATGGGCTCTATCAGGTACTACTCAATGTCGTTTACATGATTCAAGGAGGGAAAAGATACTCACCTGGCTGTAATTCGTGCAACTCTCTGGCTTGTCGTTTTTCTACAAAGACAGAATTAGCAAATTAGACCTGGAAGAGAACCCTGGAGAAAGGCTGCCTTTTCCAATGAACCAAGGCTTTTGGAACATAGAAGGCCCCAGTCATATACTTAAGATTCCTCCTGACCACCCTCAGGAGCAATTTGAGACAGGATCCACATACAGGGTACTGGAAATCGGTTTTTTTCCAAACAAAAATGCAGAGGACTTGCAATGTCATGCTAAGGGCTGCCTGGAAGTGTGGAAGAGATTCCACAAAATCAGGCAACATCCAGAGCTCACAGGGATGAAGGAAAGAGCCCCATAAAATTGTAGTAAAAATATGCAGGAAGGTTAAATATATTTAGGATCCTGGTGAAAATCCTGGCAGTGGACAAGGGAGCCCAAACCCAAAGACACTCCGGAGCCTTCCAGCCCCTGGGATTTGGGCCTTCTGTTCCGGACTTCACAGGTTCACTATCAGGCAGGACCCCGGGTGAGAAAATAGGGAGCCTGATTCAAGGTGCACTGTGGTGGCTGGTGGACTTTGGGGTGCCGCTGCTGTCCTGTCCTCTCCAACATGGGTGGACACCGGGAGGCCGTTCCTGCGCAGGGGGCAGCGACCCACGGCCTTCCTTCAGATCCTTCCCTGCTCCTGAAGCTACATCAGGGCAGGCACATTTGGGGCAGCCTCTAGCATGGAGGGGCCACGATCCACCATTCTTAGTGAGGTCACCAGCAGAGTGACACACATGAACATCCCGAATGACACATGTGAACATGCAGCCCAGCAAAGGCATCCGCAGTTTACTTACTGACGACGACGACGACGGTGATGATGGTGATGACCATAACCTCCAGCAGGCAAATCAAAGCCAGTGTGACACCTCCTACACTTGACTCCCAAAAAGGGGATTCTAGATTCCCTAAAAGGGGACAGGCACATGTCAGCACCAATTGGCAGCAGCCCTTCAAGCCTCACGCAGAGACCCTGTGTGCCCCCCCCCTGCCGCAGCACCCCCCCCCCCCAGTAACCAAGGCATCTTGCCCCTGAAATTCGGGAACTTCCAGCTACAGAGACTCCAAAGGGTCCCTTTTTCCATGAGAACAAAGGGAAAATGACCATTTTGAGTCTCCAGAGTAGTTTGCTGCCTACTTTTGGTGGCAAATTGCCCACATTTTGGCCACAACACTGCCAAATTTCAGCAGTGCAGGGACGGCAGCACCAGTGGGGCCATGCAAGGCCACCCCCACCCCCAGGCCATGTATTATTCTCCCCAGCCTTAAAAGATGCTTTTCAACCAATTCAGCCCTGTATAACACTTATTTTTAAAGGCATTGCATGGCAACAGTTCTGACTGTGGGCATCCCGGGGCTGAAACACCCACATCCCTGCCATGACTTCAACCAGAGATGGACCCCCTGCCTTCCAAGGGCTAATCTTCCAGCTCTCCTGCCAGGAATCACCCCCCCTCCAAATTAACTGACATCCCAAAGCACACATGAGGTTCTTTTTTGGATCCCTCCATCTTTCCTAGGGAAAACTCAGATTTCCAGAATCCAGCCCCCTGACTAAGGATCTCTCCCTTCTCCCCTCCCCAGCTGTCTCTCACCCGCAGGCCCCCCCAGGCCAAGACCAGAGGCTGCAACAGGCCGGCATGGGCCACACGGCACCGGTAGAGGCCCCGCTCCTCGGGCTCTACGTCAGTGTAGAGTGAGATGTAGTAAGTCCCATCTGGATTGGAGTCCACACGACTACGGAAGGTCTCCTGTTCCCGTCTCTCCCCGTCTCTGGTCCAGGCGGCTTCGATCTCCTTGGGGTAGAAACCGTGGGCCTGGCAGACGAGGGTTTCCACCTCCTCCGTGGATGACTTGTGGCGAGTCACCTTCACTTCGGGGGGCTCTGCAAAATGGGCAAACTGGGTGTTATCACCGCCAGCAGAACCTCTCCCGCAATCTGATGGGGTGTATCTGAGCAGCAGGTCAGGGTTTCCTGGGGCCATCCTGTCCCTCCCAACGCTGCCCCAAGATTGGCTACCCCACACCTTCAGCATGCCCAGAAAATAAAACTCCTAAAGAAAGGGGTTCTCAGGTAGTTGAAAGGTGAAGAAACTCTGCACATGTTCAGATACACTCCTAACAAACTGGCTAGGATTACATACTTGCAGAAACTTTCTCTCCCCCTTCAAAGGAGGGATTCACTGGATATGCTTTTCTGCTCCTCCCAGCTCGGGGATTCCTCTTCCTCACTCGTGAGGCATGTGGCGCCAAAGGGCAGATGCATTGGGAGGCAGTCAGAGAGCAAGAAAGGGCCCGATCCCCAAGCACACAGCATAATTTGGGGGAAGGGGGTTATTTGAGCAGAGAAATTAGGCAGGTGGGGCCCAGCTGTCCCAATGGGAGGATTTGGTTTGATGGGTTCAGGGAGGGGATCCCCACATGCACCCAGCCCCCTCCTGCAGTGGCCCCACCCAGCTAAGACCGGGTGGCAGGCCAGGGGTGGGGGCGTAAGGTCCCCAGAGGGAAGGAGTGGACTCTGCACATGTGCGTTGGGGGGAGCCCCATGAGCTGACACGGAGGCTCCAAGGGGGGCAACTTCCAGCCCTCCCACCTTTCATGCTCTGGTACTTTTTGACTTCTGGGCAGCTTTGTGAGAGCAAAGAATCTGGGGGAGGCATTCGAAGCGGTGCTCCCCACAGTGCAGGCTGAAGTGGAACGCTCCTGCCACCACTGCTCTTCTGTCCAGTGATGAACGAGGGGAGGGGAGAAAAACTGTCCCCAAGACACCTCCGTCTCCCCCACTCACCTGTCCGCAGCAGACTTTCATTCCCGTAGCCCAGGACTCTCCACAGCCACTCCAGGCACTCCCCCTCCAGGTAGGCCTTGAATCCCTGAGCGATGGCGGGTTCGGCCTCCCACTTCCGCTTGCTGATCTGGGCTTTGGCATCGGCTGCCGTCCACCTGAGATGCTCCTTGTCCAGGCTGAGGAAGTCCCTCCCGTCGTAGCCGAACT